TCAGTGCATGTTTAAAAACAGGGAATGCAAAGGTGTCATACTCTGGCTGGGGATGTTTTCTCAATCTGTTTCTCATCAGTCGCGGTGGAGGGGGTGATACGCGTCTCGTATTTCACGACATCTGAAATGCTTTACCATCAGTTATTGTGCAAATGTGCGCGCCATTCTATAATCTACCTGTTACACGAACAGCGCGTTCCGTCCGTCGTGAATGTCTATGGGGTGTCATTGTCGAATAAATCAGCGTAAATTTGTCGCCAGGCGACTAAGTTGACCCGACTCGGCGAGCCATTGAACTCTTCCGCAATTCCATTCATGAATCGGTACTTGTCGCCTCGTTTTCAGTCTCTATCGTCTCATTAGTATTGCTTCCCGGGTTTATTTTATGCCGTCCCGTTCGTACAATTGCGTTAGCCCCATTTGACTAACACGTAACATTCGCGCATATAATTTGCATGTGGTTTACACAATAATGTAAATATAATCCGTGGATCATCGCCCCACGACTCCCCCCCCCCCCGCCGCACGTAAACTGCGCGCGCACCACATTCACTGCTGCGTGGTGAGATTCAATTCGCACGAATGACGCGGCGTGTACGCAACTGCGACACGTGACGCACGTTGACACTCGAGCGGGCAGTCCGCAAGGCCGCGCGGCGGCGAGCCCGGAGTGAGATCCCTATCAGACCCCGGGGGGAGCGGCAGCAAAAGGGGGGGGAGGGGAAGGTGCGTGTATGGGGGGGGGAGGTAACTAGAACGAGCTACGTTCAACCCCCACACTTCCTCCCTACTTTTCGCACTGCATCCACGCCAACTGCGATCGTGTAGTGCAAGGATATATAAATATACATAATGTACATATCTGTTTTCCGATGGGCCACGTAATGCCATGAGCATACATGTGCTCATTTATTAACTTGATCCATAACTCACCGATTCACTTCAGGCACTCGCTCACAGGCGTGCAGTCAACTCCTTACCACTCTTCTATCGCTACTACCATGGTTACTGTTCCCGTGAACTTCACCAAATGATTCTAATTCCCATGTGGAGGACTCGGATCTCATCCACGCTATGTTCAACTACCACACTGCAACTCACAACGCCTCTTGTTCTGCTTCTTCCCTCGCACCGTTCCTCTTTAGAATGCCCTCCCATCGTCTCTTCTCCAAACTTCTTATACTAACCTCGGTTAATTTAAGAAAAGTGTTACACTCTTTTCGATTACAATTTTGGCCGTGCCGTTTGTTCCGGCCGCTGGGCGTGTTGGATCTTCGGGCCGGTGCTCAGCAATTGTGTTAAAATGATTTATGTTGTCTCGCGAACATGTGTCATGTTACCTGGATGTCTCCGCCAGCGGTATCCGATTCTCGGTGGGGCCAACCCGAAGCGCGTTCCCGGGATCCGCGTTTGGCCCGCCAGTCGAGAGGGCGCGCCGTGGGTGTGCGACCAATGGCCGGAAAACTCTCGAGGTGCGGCCAAACGAGCGGCGTTGTTCCTGCGTGGCGACCTTTTGTTTGATTGCACACGCCGGTTATTATTACACCGACTTTCCAATGCCGGCGGTGCCACCACCCAATGTACATAACACGCCTCGGTAAACACCATCGGCCATGACGTAAACTCGATCGTTTCTCCGCAGCAAATGCGCACGTTTAACGAGAAGCTCCGTCGGATATCGCACGCAACTTGGCCTGCGCGCTTCTTTCCAGCACCTCCTGCCGGCGCAACTGTGGATATCAATTGAGGCGAGCGCCGTGATTTGTGAGCTCACGCCGAAGGGAGATCCGCTTGATGTGTAGGAGGGGGCGGTCGACTCTTCTCCACTGCTGTCCCACTGTCTGGAACACCCTGGCCCACATTGGTTGTCCGCACTGCTCACGAGGACCCATCTTGAGCAGGGAGAGGGGCCGTGCCTACGAAGGTGCAGCAGCTCACGAGCAGTTGGTTTAAGTTGCCCGACTCTGTCGATGAGACACGAACGATCAAAACCCATTCAGACGGTTGTTTGTCCATAATAAATGATTTTGTTTCGGGTTAGATCGCGTAAATACATAAATGTGTCGTTAAACCCGCCACCACCCGACACAGCCAACTAGTAAGGGTTGTCACGTAAACAGAACGTGCCAATTCGTCACTAGTACAGCACACTGGTGTCTTGGAGAGCCAAGCCACAACATTTACAATCTGAGTACGACGTTTCGCCCGTAATTACATATTGCTTCATCAGGCGGGTATAACAACACATTTATATCAGTTTAACATGTAGGCTTTCGCAACCAATATTATTCATAATAAAGGTTTTTGGGTTAGATCGCGTTTATTTATAAATGTGTCGTAACCCTCCACCACCCGACACGGACAATCAGCAAAAAAAGTGTCACGTTGACAAAAACAATTCACTACTTTAGCCCACCGGTGTGTTGAAGAGTGAATCCACATTTACAGTTTGAGTGCGACGTTTAGCTGCTAAATACATCCAGCATCATCAAGCAATTCGCCAGAATGGTAAAGCCCTCGCTTGCTCCCGGTTTTATATAGAGCAGCAGGGTGACGTCATCACTTAACTCATATCAGGTGCAGTGATTAGAGGCGGAGGGGGGGTATTGTAATTATATAATCGATTAGTAATCAGTCATTGGTTATGATTAGTAATGAGTTGTAGATTAGTAATTCTTTAAATCAAAATGTAATGTGTATTATTTAATAATACGCTTCCAGGCCGCACTAAACCTGTAGCTGCCAGAGCGATTAAAGTTATTCTTGTACCTCTCAATTTCAATGGATTCTCTAATTAGTCTTTGCCAGTAATAATTAGTTTTACACACCACTGCAACATTGTCAAAATCAATTGAGTGTCCTTGTTGACAAGCATGTTCTGCCACTGCCGACAGTTGTGTTTGAGATAATTTAATATTTCTCTGATGTTCTTTTAGTCTTACGCTGATGTTACGTCCCGTCTGTCCAATGTAGCAGCTGCCACATAAACAATTAATCCGATATACACCTTCCGTTGATAATTTAGGTAATGCGTCTTTAGTGCAAGATACTAGTTTTTGAATTTTGTGTACTGTACCAAATCTTACTGTAATGTTTTGCTTTTGCAATTTATAAATAAACGCGATCTAACCCAAAAACCTTTATTATGAACACATTTATATATTTACGCGATCTAACCCCCCCAAAAAAACCATCTATTATGGATTGTGTGACCTCTCTCTGCTGACCACCACGTGAGCATCCAAGCGCTGTGCAGGTACAAACCTGCTTAGCTTCCGAAATCAGAGCGAGATCGGCGCATTTCGGGCGATGTGGCCATAAGCCGTTTTGTACATTGCTCAATTTCTAATCTCACCTCATTAACATTTAATTTACTTATTTTAATTAAATCCACCAGGCACGTGTCCGCAGAATTATGCTTGGACCTTGGAACTCTTACCTGTCTATACAACTGCGATAGTGCTGTTTGTTGCTGGCCGCTGAACATTTTCGGGCATTTGGGCCCGTGCTGAATAAGAGGAAGAGCGCGGCGCGTGGTTACGGGGGAGAGAAATCGCGGCTCCCAACGGGAGTCGCACACGGGAGCTGAGCTGGGCTAAGTCAATCATCCTCCTGCACCACCACGCCCGTGTTGCGCCTTGGCTGACCCGGCCGAGCCTTGGGGCTGGTTGCGTTCTGCATGGCGAGTGTGAGCGAGTGAGAGAGGGAGAGAGCGAGAGCCTCATTGTAAACTCTACGCGCAGTTTATTTACACGTAAGCCGCTTTATTAAAACAATAACTCCGGGTTCGCGAACACGCGGGGTCAACGTGAGACTCGTAGAGGTTTGTATTTATATCGGCTTGTCATACACACACACAAGGCAGACACCTCGTGTCGTGCCTTACAGACTGGTGGCAATCAGGGCCAGATTAAGGCTTTAGTGGCTGCATCACAGGGGCCTCCCCCAGCTGGAGGGCCTCCAGAGATTAAGTGAAAAGTTATTTTACTTGTGAATGCTGAATTTTATTTGTTGTTAGCCTTGTAAAAATAAATTGATTTTTCTTTAACCCTGTTTTCCTTTTGAAATTATTACTGGGGGCCTCACAGTATCTGTAGCCCAGGGGCCTACAAAATCTGAATCCGGCCCTGGTGGCAATAAGTGCGGTTTGCAATCACCTATTAAGATTTGGCCGACGCACGAGAGTGTGGTGTATCCAGCGTTATACCCGGCCCGCCTTTGCCAGCCCCCCCCCCCCCCACACTGTTGATGGTTTACACACCGCATCAACAACTCATTTAAGTCTGAGCCGATCCTAGGGGAGACCCTGGACCGATTCCAGATATTCTCCACTGATGTTAACCGTGATCGGTAATCATCGAACGCGCGTGGCCCGGGGCTCGTAGCGGAGCGCCACTGCAACACCTCTCTCCGAGACCGGCAATGCACGCGGACACCAAATACACATCGTGGGGGCGGGACTCGTGGTTGTGTGTTCACGATTCACCTTGATCGGCCTTACTGCCGCGCGCGTGCGTGTGTGTGTGTATTCCGCGAGCGTGTGTCTATTCTGTGTGTGTGTTCCGCGTGTGTGTATTATGCGTGTGTGTGTTCCGTGTGTGTATACCGCGTGTGTGTGTGTGTTCCGCATGTGTGTGTGTGTATTCCGCGTGCGTGTGTGTGTATTCCGCGTGCGTGTGTCTATTCTGTGTGTGTATTCCGCGTGTGTGTATTCCGCGTGTGTGTGTCTATTCTGTGTGTGTGTGTTCCGCGTGTGTGTATTATGCGTGTGTGTGTTCCGTGTGTGTATTCCGCGTGTGTGTGTGTTCCGCATGTGTGTGTGTATTCCGCGTGCGTGTGTGTATTCTGCGTGCGTGTGTTCCGTGCGTGTGTGTGTTCCGTGTGTGTGTGTGTTCTGTGTGTGTGTGTGTTCCGTGTGTATGTGTATTCCGCGTGTGTGTGTGTTCCGAGTGTGTGTGTGTGTATATATTCCGTCCACTCGCCGCTGATAAGGAACGCCACTCGAACGGTGCTCCCGGCCGACGCATTAACAGCCGCCGGACAATGCAGACTGCCACCTACAGAGTGATGGACTCTCGAGCCGTAGCCAGATTCACGTGGCGTATGAGTAGTCACGCGGGTGTTAGAGGCGCGACCAAGCCGTTACCTTTCGGCTACTCTGAAGACAAACACGCATTAACACGCTGCGTTGTAAGTCCACTGCTGAATGAAGGCATCCCCACTCACTCTGGCGTGTCGACTGGCCGCACCACCACGCTTCATCAGACTCGTCAGTGCGGGTTGGTGAAGGGGATGGTGCAGGGAGATTGCTCCGGATATCACTCGCCACTTATGTATAAGCCATGGTCGGAGATTGAACTCAGGTCGCAGCGCGCTAACGCACGCTGCCACTGAACCACGTACGCCTTGCGCTAATAGCCACGACATATATTCGTATATCATACACGTGGCATGGAAAGCATATCTCTCCGTAATAGAGTGATTTCCAGTGTCTTATAACATTGAAAGCCTTGTCCATGACACCTTCAATAGCGCTGTTTGTTGTGGGGCCCTTGGCGTTTTGGGTCTGTGCCGTGACGGTGTTTAAAACGACGATGATGACGACGACGACGACGATGATATTACCACGGCTGTTTAACCAAACCGCAGGGGCCCCTCGCGGCGCTCTCCAACGCTGTGCGGCTGCTGTTTAACGGGGAGTAGGGCAGGGCGCTAGGGGCAGCGACACTCAAATAAATAAATTAATGAGGGCTGGGGGCCGTGCGTCGAGGCGGGTGGTGAAACCGGGCTCTAATTAAACTGTGCGTGAAGCTTCCCCTCATTTACACCACCAACCCCTCCTCCTACTCACCCCCCCCCCTCTCTCTCGCCGTGCCGATAAAGCAGCTGCGTGGGAGGTAGCGCGACCCATCAGCCCTACCCGGGACCACTGCGCCGTCTCGCTCTAACCTCTCGGCAGTAGCTGGAGATGCAGCAGTAGCCGCTGCAGGTAGCGAAGCGCAGTCCGCTCGCCTGCAGGTGCAGCAGCATTGCGCTCCTCAGCCACGGTAGACGCACGGCGCGAGCTCGCAACGTCTCTGAAGGCTCGTAAGATCGCCGTCATCTCGTACGCGTGTGTTTTTTTAATCTTCACGAGTGCCCATCACAATATATCGGTACCCGTGCGTGCTGGATATATACACACGTATTGTGATGTATGTGTGTGCTGATGTATATTTGTATACACGCATCGTGGCGTGTATGTTCACGTGCGCGCGATAATTGTCGCGCTCTGTTCGCGTTACGATGCGATATATTTTTCACGTAGAACTTTTATAAATTGTCTCTAATCATCTGACTGAATGTCTCTATGCTCGGACGTGAGTTTCGGATTTTTGCCGAGAGGAGGACTCAGAAGGCAAAGCAGAATTATCGCCTTTTTCGTTCAATCACTGCCTCCTCCATTTCAATATCGCCGCTCGAATCAGAAAAAAGTATATCACGTGATCGTGATATTGATTTCATATCGAGATATTTCTTACGCTCAACTCGACTCGTCGGTCACATTGGGGCCGCAGCGCTCGGAGCCGCACACAGACGCACTGCCGGCGCTCACGGCGGGCGACGCTGACCTTTCAACGAAACCCCTCTGTTGTCCCGTTCACTCCGGCGCAGATCATCCGGCGACCGCTCTCAAGCTTCCCCGCTCGCATCCGGGGCCTGCGTTCGGATCCAAGAGGAGTGGACGCGTCCCAGAGCTCTCGTCCCGCGGCGTCCACGCGATGGAGCGCGGCGGCGGCGGCGGCGGCGGTGGCGTCGCGGGGCTGCTGCTCGCTCTGTGCGCGCTCTGCGGGTGGTGCACGGCCGGCGGCTCGGCCGCTTCGCGCTACGGCCTCAGCATGTTCGCCGCGCAGCAGCAGGGCCTGCCCCCGGACCCGTGCAGCGATGAGGCCGGCAACCCTCGCCGCTGCATCCCGGACTTCGTGAACGCCGCGTTCGGCAGGGAGGTGCGCGCCTCGAGTTCGTGCGGGAAGCCCCCGGCGCGGTTCTGCTCGGGTGGCCTCCTCGAGGAGCGCGGCGGTGGCGTGGCCGCCGTGCGCTCGTGCCACGTGTGCGACGCTTCGGACCCGAAGCGCGCTCACCCTCCCGCCTACCTCACCGACCTCAACAACCCGCACAACCTCACGTGCTGGCAGTCCGACAGCAACGTGCAGCCCCCGCTCAACGTCACGCTCAGCCTTGCGCTCGGCAAGAAGTTCGAGGTGACCTACGTGAGCCTGCAGTTCTGCTCGGTGCGCCCCGAGTCCATGGCCATCTTCAAGTCGGCCGACCACGGCAAAACGTGGGTGCCCTTCCAGTTCTACTCGACGCAGTGCCGCAAGATGTACGCGCGGCCCAACAGGGCGACCGTCACCAAACAGAACGAGCAGGAGGCGCTCTGCACGGACGCGCATCTCGAGGCGCGCTCGCAGGGAGCCGCGGCCGCATCCTCTTCATCGTCGTCGGCTGCAGGAGACGGGCTGGTGGCGTTCAGCACCCTGGACGGGCGCCCCTCGGCGCACGACTTTGACAGCAGCCCCGTGCTGCAGGACTGGGTCACGGCCACGGACATCCGCGTGGTGTTCAGCCGCCTCCACGCGCCCGCGCCGCCGCCGCCGCTGCCGCCACACGACGACGGCGCCCAGCACCCGGGGGGCGCCGCGGAGTCCCCCCTCCAGGAGGGCCCCGGGGCTCTGCCGCACCTGTCGCAGGGGGCCCGCGACTCGCACTTCTACGCCGTGGCCGACCTGCAGGTGGGCGGCCGCTGCAAGTGCAATGGCCACGCGGCGCGCTGCGTGCGCGGCGAGCGGGACGGCGCCATGGCGTGCGACTGCAAGCACAGCACTGCGGGACCCGACTGCGACCAGTGCAAGCCCTTCCACCACGACCGGCCCTGGCAGAGGGCCACCGCCCGCGACGCCAACGAGTGCGTGGGTACGTGCGGCGTGCGGCGCGCAGGGGGGTTGGGGCGGGGGGCTCCAACGATACTCACGATACGAGCGGTGCTGATTGGGGGTGCGAGCAGAGTTGAATGGGTGTAGGGAGTGGTGCTGATTGGGGGCGAGAGTGGTGCTGATTGGGGGTGTGAGTGGTACAGATTGGGGGGTGAGAGTGGTGCTGATTGGGGGTGCGAGTGGTGCTCATTGGGGGTGAGAGTGGTGCTGATTGGGGGCGAGAGTGGTGCTGATTGGGGGTACGAGTGGTGCTGATTGGGGGTGCGAGTGGTGCAGATTGGGGGTGCGAGTGGTGCTGATTGGGGGTGTGAGTGGTACAGATTGGGGGTGAGAGTGGTGCTGATTGGGAATGAGAGTGGTGCTGATTGGGGGTGAGAGTGGTGCTGATTGGGGGTGCGAGTGGTGCTGATTGGGGGTGCGAGTGGTGCTGATTGGGGGTGCGAGTGGTGCTGATTGGGGGTGCGAGTGGTGCAGATTGGGGGTGCGAGTGGTGCAGATTGAGAGTGCGAGTGGTGGTGATTGGGGGCGAGAGTGGTGCTGATTGGGGGTGAGAGTGGTGCTGATTGGGGGTGCGAGTGGTGGTGATTGGGGGTGAGAGTGGTGCTGATTGGGGGTGCGAGTAGAGTTGAATGGGTGTAGGGAGTGGTGCTGATTGGGGGTGCGAGTGGTGCTGATTGGGGGTGCGAGTGGTGCTGATTGGGGGTGCTGATTGGGGGTGCGAGTGGTGCTGTTGGGGGTGAGAGTGGTGCTGATTGGGGATGAGAGTGGTGCTCATTGGGGGCGAGAGTGGTGCTGATTGGGGGTGCGAGTGGTGCTGATTGGGGGTGCGAGTGGTGCTGATTGGGGATGAGAGTGGTGCTGATTGGGGATGAGAGTGGTGCTGATTGGGGATGAGAGTGGTGCTGATTGGGGGTGCGAGTGGTGCTGATTGGGGATGAGAGTGGTGCTGATTGGGGGTGCGAGTGGTGCTGATTGGGGGTGCGAGTGTTGCTGATTGAGGATGAGAGTGGTGCTGATTGGGGATGAGAGTGGTGCTGATGGGGGATGAGAGTGGTGCTGATTGGGGGTGCGAGTGGTGCTGATTGGGGATGAGAGTGGTGCTGATGGGGGATGAGAGTGGTGCTGATTGGGGGCGAGAGTGATGCTGATTGAGGGCGAGAGTGGTGCTGATTAGGGATTAGAGTGGTGCTGATTGGGGGCGAGAGTGGTGCTGATTGGAGATGAGAGTGGTGCTGATTGGGGATGAAAGTGGTGCTGATTGGGGATGAGAGTGGTGCTGATTGGTGGTGCGTGGTCCCGAGGCGTTCGTATTCGCTTTTTGGGTGTCTCACTTGTTCCCTTATTAAGGGGCACAGTGATTATATTCTGGGGTTATAGTGATTATATTATGGGGTTATAGTGATTATATGTTGCAGGGGTGCCAGTTTATATGACTAGGGGGGTACAGACATTATCTTATTAAGCGTACGCAATTTTTCTCTAACTCGTGAGCACAGTCATTCTATTGTACAGGGTTCTGTTCCATTATCGGGACGGGGACGGGGGGGGGGGGGTACAGCAGTTCTCTTATTAGGCACAGTTATTTCATTATTAGGGATGTAGCAATGATATTATTATGGGAGTGCAGTCGTTTTCTGATTAGGGGGTGCAGTTGTGGGCACAGTTATTCATAGTTAGGGGTGGCACAGTTCTCTTATTGAGGGGCCACAGTTATGGCGTTTCTCAATGAGTCGAAGTTATTCTCTGGTGTACGTGGCGCTACAAGTCGCTTCCATTTTTTGCCGATCGAATGCGCGGGGCCCTTCCAATGCATTGCTCTGATTGAAAACGTTCCTGCTCACGCACGTTTTGCAACGCATTCCCCACGAATTGTTATCGGGGCAACGGACGCGAGGGCACATTCTGAATGCGCGACTCTCAAGAGCTGCGCGTGACCTGTGTGCGCGTTCGCGCGTTTGTGTCGTTATATTTAGGCGTTTTTTTTTTAAACCATCAGCAGAATGCCCATGTCGAGTGCTACCCAGTGCTCTATGCACGCGCGTGGATGGCACAGACAGCGGCTTGTCAGCTGCCAGTCTCTGGTGTATTTATACTTGGCCGAGCATTCGCACGTGTATCGACATCTCGGCGTAAAACGCGATGCTAACGTGCAGCCTGTGCCATACTATGTATGGTATTCTGCACGACGTGTCGCTTTACGCCTCTCGCAATGGTTACACTGATATCCGGTCTTCTTTCCTGTTCAGCGGAAATAGTTCGCGTTTAATTGTATTCAATCCGAATGTGCTTACCGTTATTTTCTTCACGTGTATGCCGGTTATGTCCTTTAAACGTAAGGCACCATTGCAGAGGTTATCAAACAGCGATAGGTCTCTTCCGTGGACGTACATTCACGAGATTAGCGTCGCTTCTTTTCCCATGATCAAAGCAGTCGAATTCATGACCGTAGTACAATATACATACGCATTTCTTACACATCCCATCAGACACATGGCCTTTTGGCAGCGCGTAATTTCAGGCAGCATTGGTTCAACAGGAGCACAAGCAAATACACGGTGCGGAGTTTGCTTCTGTTAAATCAATGCTGCTGAAATATGGTTAAGGTGTGGAGATAGAAAAATAGAGGAGGCATAATGTCTGAGTATTTATTTTGTAACCGATGAATACGTAGAGAACATCTAATATGATTTGTTTATTGCAATTAATTAAGGATATTTTGACCGACAGGTTTTATCTTGCGATATAACTAATTTAATTGGTTAACATAACAGATATTTTTGCCTTAAAGCTTTCGTGACTGCAGGAATTCATAATCTTGGGTCTATTTTTCCACCTTAGGACGATTGCTTGTTTTGCGATCGAAACGTCGTGATTTTTTATTATTATATTTTTTCTATCTACGTGACTTTACCGAAACACCCAATTTCGCTCGCTATGCAACGTAATAATGTAAGCCTTTAGGCAACTTGTGTTGGCCTCGTTGGTCGCGGGCCGATGCTGGCGGCCCGTGGGCTAAACCTTCGGATAATCTGGCGCTGTCCTCACGGCTGCTGTCCCACACTCGCGCTAACAGCGCTTGCACCGAAAGTCTGCTGAGGCTATACGGGGAGCGACCTTTGCCTCTGCGTGAACGAGTGAGCGCGGTGGAGCGAGTAGCGGTTTTAGTTCTTCCACGTTTCACTCGCTGTTTCACTCGTATATTCCTCTCCACGTGCCGTTCTACGCTACTTTTACTTTAATTATGACCCCACCTCCCTGGTCTCTCTCTATACTATGGCGAAGAGTCATTGTCGTAAACGTCGCCTTTTATACACAGCGTTTCTTTTTTAGGCCACAGTGTTCTTGACGAATGTGTTTGTGAATTTGTTGTTGTTGAATGTTTGTGTATTAGTTATTGTTGTTGAATGTGTCTGTGTATTAGTTGTTGTTGTTGAATGTGTTTGTACACCACTGCCGATGTTGCAGTAGCAGCAGCAGCAGGAGCAGCGCAGCAGATCATTATCCGCTCACTTTTTCCGGGCTAATTTTTGTTCACTCGGCCATCATCGGGGGGGGGAGGGGCGGAGCTCCGACCTCGTTCAGATTTGTCACCAGATGGCCGAGTTGGTGCAACGAGCGCTCGATTGCCGTTTCGGAATGGGGGCTCTGCGTGAGATGTCCGTGCACAGGGGCCGTCGCGAGCCGGAGGTTATTTATTGTTGTAGCCTTGCCTCCAGATGTGGCTCGAGGTTTTGCCCTGAGAGACCGTTCTCAACCTCAGTCGTTGCGCGTCTCCCGTGGCTCTGGAGTTCATGCCGACCGATCTTTCCTAGGCCTGTGTTGACCAGGAATCTGGTCGTGAGACTGTTTTGGAAGTGTACGTTTCACTTTTTCTAACCCAAAGTTCGCCAATTTGTTTGGCAAAAAAACTCTCCTTCATGTTGATAATTAAAATAACACAACCATTAAAAAAATGCAAGAGAAGTTTACAAACAATATGCAGTCTATAAAAAAAACCTTGAAAACTTTGAATTGGCAGCTTCCATCCGCATTACTTTGTTAGGCGTGGAATGTCATGGGATTTGTAGATGTTTGGAAATCAGAGCCAATCAGAACTTCAGAAAATTAGTTTGTTTTCGTTGTAAAATTTCATCTGAGATTACACCATTCATTTAAACTGTTAAGAAGTGCGCTTGGGCAAGGACACGCCACTGCTAGAAGGGACGATGGTCAAGAGTAATAAAGGAGTAGCAGCCAAGGAATGTTCATGAGAGGGCGTCTCCCTGGGAGATGGAGCAATGAGATCGGTTCGCGTTGCATCACTTATTTACGAGAGGCGGTGGCGGGTTTGGGAGCCATTATATCTGGCAGTGGATTGATCATGATTGACGATGATGCTCATTGAGCTGTTTGAGTAAAATATATCGCAGCATCCCTAGAAGGAATGCCTCATCACGATGGTTAGCAAGGACATCTGCCGTCGGAGTAAAAGTCTGTGCAGTCGATAACGGGAACGCCAGTCTCTGCTGCTCCTATCTCCCGGCACGCTGCGTCACGATCCCGTGTGCTTCACAGGATATCGGTGAAACTGCTAATCCAGTTGCACATTCATTCAGGTACCTTGTGGTGCGAATAGGGAAGAGATCTGGACCGCGATGGCAATGACGTAAGATGGCACTTTACGAAGTGACCTGAGGTCGTGCAATGGTTAGCACACTGGACTTGCATTCCAGAGGTCGCTGGTTCGATTATTTTAACAATGACCACATTAAGGGATTTATATTCATTCAACAGAAGAAAAATGGGATTCCGTCGCTCAGACGACAATTCTCGCACGCGGAATTTGTTTGCAATTCGCATCGCGCCATTTAAAGGGCGGCTCATCCAGTGGGAGGTTCTAATCCGTTGCGGGTTGCACCCGACTCCGATTGAAGCGGCAGACACTCCGGCAGGACTTAACCCCTTCGCTGATCACACACGAGGCTTTACAGCTTTTCTGCT